CTGTTTGTACAGACTTGTCTGTGCGCATGTGGATCTGCCCATGTGTATGTATGTATGTACGTGCACGCGTGTCCCTATTCACTTGTTGATATGTACACACAAGTATACACCGAGACGACCGTACCAATCAAGTCGATCTGTGAAGAATATGTGTGTGTATATATGTGTGTATACATACAGGTATAAATATGCATATTATATGCATATACATATATACTTATATATGTACATATGTGTGTGTGTACAGAGATGTGTATATACATATGTATATATATATATATGCATACGTGTACTTCCCCGGCTGACCTCAGAGGAAACATGCCGGCCCTTGTGAATCAGATCCCGGGGCCTTCCGGGAGCATCTCGGCCCAGGGTCGTCGGAGGGGATTCCTATAAGGATACGATTAGAAGGCTATAACGGTTCCTCTAAAGGGCTCTATAAGGATACGATGAGAAGGCTATAAGGGTTCCTTTAAAGGGCTCTATAAGGCTATGGCTCTATAAGGATAAGACTTCTATTAAGGTCACTTGTTTCGGGCCTCGGATTAGGATTTTAGGGCTGAGAGGGTCTAGGGGGGTTTAGGGTTTAGGGCCCTGAAACCTAAACCCTGGACCCTAAACCCTAATTAGGGTCGAGGGGTTCAGGGCTTAGGGTTGCAGGCTTACGGTTTAGAGTTTAATGTCTAGGGGTGTCGGATTTTGAAGTTGGGGGCTTAGGGTTTAGGGTTTGAGTGTGTAGGATTTTTTGGTTCGGGATTTCAGGCTAGGGGTTGCTGCATTGGCTTTGAATCTCATTGAGATCGTTCTTCAGGATCGACATTTTAGTGCGTCGACCCTTGTTTTAAAAGGCCATAAGCCCTAAACCTTCTTAGAGGTTGAGGGCTATTCTGTCTTCGGGTCCTTTCAGGTTCGGGCTTTTTCGGGGGAGGGGAGGCTAGTCTGTCGGACATCCACGGCTTTGAGGATTACGGTGTATACCATGGGGCCGAAATAATTGCCAAGACTCTTGTGGGGCTTCCTTATTGTGATTGTAGTGTTTATAGTATACTAGGCTCCCTAGCCCCTATTCTAATTATCAAGACCCCTATATGGTAGGTATTTGGATGTCCAAGTTTGTTCGGGTTTAGGTCGGTCCTGGAAAGGTAGATTTTCGAAGTGAAGCTTCTTGAACATTCTTGAATGTTCCACTATTAGAGAGTACATTCTTACTGGTATGTAAATGCGAGTTTCCCCCCCAGGGGACCCTAATATAGCACCCGGAATAGTAGGATCCCTCTTATGAGGACCCCAAAATTAGGTACGTCTCATTTTCGGAAACTCCCATGTTGAGCTCAGGTCAGCGGAGGTTCAGGGTATTTAGGGCTTAGGTTTTTTGGGGTTTGGACTCGCCCGGAGTTCTGTGAAGTTCGATAGTGTTCAATAGTAAATATGACTCCATGCAGCCCGAACAGCCCTTGATATGACCACCAAAACAGACTGTTAAAGGGTGGGGCTGTAACCAAGTTTAGGCCTTCAAGGTGCAGGGTTTTTGAAAAGGTTCCAGGAGGGTCTTTCCACAAGGATTTGGTCAAGTTCTGCATCAATCACCTCAAGGGCGAAGGTTTTTAGCTCATGTAGAACCCTGTCTAATTGCGAACATTGCTCCTTCTTGTACCCAACCCGAACGAGGCATCGATGTGAATCGGCAGTATCTCGTCCGGTCGCTTGGCTTGACTCTGACATCTTGGCTGAAGTTACAAATCTACGTCTTGGCTACACCTTAAACCCCCAAACCCTATTTTCTCAAACCCCTAAGCCTCAAATCCCCAGACCCTCAACCCTAAAACCACTATGTGGAGCCTTGCCAGCCTTGTGCGAACCAAGCCGCTACTATAGACGCCTGAAGAACTTACTCAGCCAATGGGAAAACGGAACCTCATTGGCCGTGGATGTCTGGTCCATGATAGAAAGTTTGATTTTTGTTGGCCCGGTTTGTTATTGGAGAAGAGAGAGAATTGCCAATACTTTAGGGCCTAACTTTAGGGTTTAGGGTTGTTCAGGGTGGATGCTCGTGTTCTAAGCAAATGGCAAGCCTTCCCAACCTTCGTTCTAGTTGGTACGAGGCCTCTACGTTGCTGCGTTACTTGGGGTGGCCTGTGTAGGAGAGTTTAGCACAAGAAGGCAGGGCTTAATATCTTGATCTAAGCCATCAACGACTTTGAGGTTTGGTGGTAGGTTGACTTGCTCAGCTGGGACACTCCAGTTATATGGGTGGTTGTCAAAATTATGGTCCCTTTTTGGGTCCCCCATTATTGTACGCCACCTAATATTTAGGGTACCCAAAAAGGACCATAATTTTGACAACCACTCATATGTAGAGCTCAGGTTCATCACCGACAGTGCAGCAGGCTTCATCGTGAAAGGTGTGACCCTGACACAATCGATTTTCCTCCGCCAGGTCTACTTTTTAGGCACCCTCTTCTCGGGGCTGCTCGGGGTCCTGATCCGGATCTACCTTTAAAGCGGTTTAGGGTTTAGCGATGAAAACATACTGCTTGAGGCGCTTCAGAGACATCTCGTTCAACAAAGGGCTCGGGGTGCTGATCCGGATCTGCCTTTTAAAGCCCTTGCAGTGCGGGCTTCGGGCTCGGTGAAGTGAAGAGACCCGAAGCGTCGTATGCAGTTCCAAGCTCGAAGAAAGACATGGGCGGCTGCATCCTGTTCGGGTATTGGGTCTAGGATCTTTTCCCCGAACATCTTCACGGCAACGATTTCCACAGTAGTGATACTGTCTTTTCGATAGATATGAGAATTCGAGAACTCAGGGAATGGTCACACAGTATAGAGTCAAGTAGCAATCGTATCATAAGTAAAGGTTTGGAGATCTTAATATCACCATTCATAACCAACAAAGTACATACTAATATGACCCCCCCTCCCCCCCCAATATAGACTGTTACAGGGTGGGGGCCGTACCCAACTGCCATTCCGAAGCCACAGAAATCATCCGCAAAGGCTCCGAGCATCCATGCCGAAGCCCCAGGACCCTAATGTAGGCGCCTTCATAATTCATAATTAGATTGGTGTTTTGGGCTCCTTTATGGCACACTTATAATAAGGAACCCCAAGGAATAGTATAGGTAAGTATGTAGGCTTCTACTTATGATAAGGAACCCTAACGAATGACAAAAGGTAGTTATGTAGGCTTCTATATCAAATCTCAACGGCACCCTGAACCCTGAAGATGATGGCAGCAGCGACTACTATATGGGCAGTACTCATCAGAAAATGAGTTTTCGAGACGTTTAGGGAGTTGGGTGTAGAGTTTTGGATATATTATATTATAGTTCTAACATGGTCTGTAAGGGGGTAGCAATGCGAGCGCAACGAGATTGTAGGGTTCCGGGTTTGGTAAAGGTTTGTTGGAATCAACCCAAACCGGACCAAGAGCTTTGCAGGTAGGGTTTTTTCAATCATGTCGTTACATCCTTCTCCTATCATCGAGGCAACTTTGAACATAGTGCAATCCAGCGAAGACGGCTGTAGGCTGTAAGCCTTGATTGTAGATCCGGCTGACGAAGAACAGCATGCCCTCCACGATGCTCCCATACAACACATGGCTCGAGCTCCTGTCTTTGAATGTTCCAATGTTTGTCAGACGTACGACTCCAACCAAAGCCGCCGCTTGGAACTTCGGTGGCTTGGACACACTCGACGATGAAGTGCATTTGCGAGTGTACACTCATGGGCTTCATGTTGGGGAATTCTCCAGAGATTAGTTACCCGAACGAGTACGATGTTGATTATGACGATAGCGCCTGACTTTCGGCAGACAGGATCACAGCTCAACCCCGCAGCACGCATGGGAATGCTCGCAGTGGACCGGCAGTCAACTCTCAACTCCTCTAGACTTTAGCCTGACATGGACGACCTCCACGACTCAACATCCTAAACCCTGAGCCCCAAACACCCCAAATGTAAGCTCATTGTCCGAGTGTGAGGGCCGAACTGTAAGCTCAGACGACTCGGCAGACATAACAAGGAGCTCCAAAAAGCACCCTAAATCCTAAACTCTAAGCCTTAAACGCTGCCAACTGTTCAACCGGGACTCCCTGCAATGCGGGCTTCGTCCTTGCTAGGTAGGCGGGAAAAAAAGCCTTAAACTCTGAACACCCTAGACCCGGGTTCCCTCACTGAGAAAGTCATGAGTCCCGCTTTCGTCGGAAGTGGCGATGCTTGTGCCGATGGCCGAAATGTTGGGGCTTGGAATCAAGGAACCCTTGTAGTAGATACTTTTAAAGGGGTCCACATAGGTACTTTAAGGCCTGAGTATACAATATATGGGTACATGGCTTAAACTCCCCTGGCTTAAAGCATTAAAGTACTCTAGAAGCCTGTGTGGCTCGCACTATGCCTTTGGGCTCTTTTTCACAAGCACTTATATACAATGTTCTTGTTCATAAGCACTTACAATGTACCCCAATGCCCTGTTCTAACTATTACGGCCTCTGATGCTGCATCGCCGAGAAAGTCTGGCGTCAGAGAATCGCTGTGCCTCGCTTTCCAATCTCTCAATTTCTCTGGCGAGTGGATCTTGGCTGAGCCAAGCAGGTCGCGGCTGTTTTCCCCATGTTCATTGATTGTGTGTGTGGGTTGCATCTATGCGGGGTCGGAGACAGGCAGAGGCAGAGAGAGAGAGAGAGAGATGAGAGAGAGAGAGAAATAAAGAGAGCGAGGGAGAAAGACGAATGACAAGACAGGGAGAGTAAGCGCACGCGCGCGACCAGCGGAAAGATGCAGGGGGAGAACGGATAGAAAACAGGCTGTTAGACGTGCGTTGCATTGTCGACTACGTAGTCGCTATAGTCATTTGTCGCGAGCAGCAGCAGATGTCGCTGCAGATCCTGATTATTGAAATGCACACGATGTACGTAGCCGACGATTATAAACGCGTATCTGAATGTCCCTTTGAGTATGTAACCTGACAGCGACATAATGGAGGGCAAGGTTTGCAAGACGTTTCCTGGCTTTCCCGAGAAGGCCAACTGTTCTTGGCTGTGCTGCGTAGAGCTAGAGTGTAATATAGGGGCCTAAATTACCTATACTATTTTGGGTGTTCTTTTTTAGAATTATAGTATAATGAGCCCCAAAACCCTATTCTAATCAATAATAGGTGCAGGAGCGAGAGAGAGAGAGAGAGAGAGAGAGAGAGAGAGAGAGAGAGAGAGAGAGAGAGAGAGAGAGAGAGAGAAAAGGGCCGCCCTTGGCTTTTGCTTGGTTTCAATTTGTCATCACCTCCTCATCTCCAAGATTTGGCCAGCGCCCCACTTGCTAGAGACACCGTGCCTTGCATGGATATTGGAGTTTCTCAAAGCCAAGGCGGAAGGATGATTAGTCTACTACCAAGGCTAGATTTTGATAAACTCCCTCGTCATGTTGACAATCAACAGCTTGCCAGATGTGGGAGTTTCAAAAATGGGGGACCCTAATAAAATACCCTAAATAGTACCCAAAACAAGGCACACCTAATTTTCTGACACTCCCATGTAGCTTTCACAACCGGGAGCCGCACTACTCCTGCAGCACCGAAGTTTACCCGGCAAGATGTCAGGCAGATTGAAATCGTGTCCACCGTCCCCAGCCCGATCCTCGAATCATCCGAAAGACAACTGCCCGATAACGAAGTTTGTTTTCAGGTGCCTCGCAATGGGGAGTGAGATAAGTTACTTGCTCAGATGCTGGTATGGGGTCGAGGGTTTCGGTTTGGCTTCACTGTTCACAGCTCGCGTACAGCATTTAGCCCTGTGAGCCTGCTCTGGCCCTGCATGTATCCTGTGCCGATCTACGGCTTAAAGTTTCCGGCTGTGCTTGTCCTTCGCGAAGGAGCAGTTTTTCCGCAAAAATAACAAGCCCTTGTGCTGGCAGGAGACAGATTCCCCGGTAGACCCCTGGTGATGGCAGCAAATTGCAATGCACCAGGTGCTTTCCACTTTCCGGCGAATCGCCGTTCGTGCTACGTTTTAAAGGATTTGCTGGCGGTTGGTCTGACTTGGGGACCTCCTCGAAGCATCCCTTGGTTTGGTTTCCCCAATGAAACCATATGAGAGTTTCCGAACATAGGGGGACCCTGGTATAGTACCCTAATTAGTCGGATCCTTACTTTAAGGACCCCAAAATAGGTACCCCTAATTTTCGTAAACCGCCATATCTTTATAATTGTTATGAAAAGGGGACGAACCGTAGCACAAATGATACGAGCAAGTGAATGGCAGCAACGAGTAATTGAGCCAGGTTTGACGGCACATGCAGTGACGGCGACGGCAACTGCTGGTAGCATCGCTACTGCTGCTGCTGCTGCTGCTGCTGCTGCTGCTACTGAAACTGCAATGTACTACTTCTACAAATAAGAACATCAATAATAACAAGTATTGCTAACACATACCAATAATCATCCGTATGACAACAGGTAGAAGACTAACTACTACTACTACTACTACTAACTACTACTACTACTACTACTACTACTACTACTACTACTACTACTACTACTACTACTACTACTACTACTACTGCTACTGCTACTGCTGCTGCTACTGCTACTGCTACTGCTACTGCTACTGCTACTGCTACTGCTACTGCTACTGCTACTGCTACTACTGCTACTACTACTACTTCTACTACTACTACTACTACTACTACTACTACTACTACTACTACTACTACTACTACTACTACTACTACTACTACTACTACTACTATAGATACCAAGTGAATACTAAGGTCAGTAGTAGTAATAACGGCTACTATTACTACTGTTATCAATTATATTACGCGTGTTTTTCCTACTACGAACGTTTTGCTTATCATAATACGAGCAAATACTAGTAGTAATACGAATACTGATAAGAATGATAATAGAACACTAACCATAACCGTTACAATAACAACAACAATGAAACATGAAATACTCACAACGACAACAATGACAACTACAACTGCGACGACGACGACGACAGGCCATTTCTTATGTTAAGGGGCACACCTTTCTTGAAGTTTGGTGTCACAAGAGCCTACACTCCAAGGATATGCAAGATCTAATGTCAAGGAGACATCACTGAACCACGGCCTCGTCGGAAAATGGCAGACGAAGACAGACCAAAACTCTGAAGAGCTTTCCTCCGCGCCCCAATCCATGATCTTTCGATCCCGAAACTTAAAGCTTGAAAAGCTGCAACCCGGCCCTACAAGAGAGACCACCCCAGTCGAGCTTCCCTTTTTTGGCTTTGCTATGTTAAGCCTCTGCAGCGGCGCCGCGCAACATTTTTGCGACCTTCAAAGTTGGCTTGTAGGGTACAGGTGTTGCATCCAGGTTTGGGTGAAAAGCTGCAGGGTTTGGGGTTTGCATGGTTTGAACGTCGGAAGTCTTGGAGAAGTACAAAGGTTTGAGGTTTTGGATTGCTTCACTGAGGGTTTCGGCTGACCCGAGGCTGAGCGTTGAGTTCGGGAGCTCCGCGGTGGAAC